CCCCCCCCCCCCCCCCCCCCCAAACCAAAAACTCACCTGTTTGAACTGAGGTTCTGGAGGGGCTTGTAGAGGGGGGATATAAACATGTTTGAACTGAGGTTTTGCGGGGCTCGGTCTATTATACTTCATATATCTTGATAAACATGATGAGATATAAATGTAATAGTCACATATTAATCTTAATCTTAATTTTTTTTGAATACAATCTTAATCTTATAATATTTGTAAAATCTCAAATATACATCTAGCCATAGAGGAATAGACTATAGATAGGCCTTCAAAGTTTTCCCTATATTTTGTTCTGAGTTTTGCCTCTTCGGCCTGTATGGCAATATCTATATATAGGATAAAGAGAGGTGACAACAGAGACAAGAGAGTGGAACTGCTACAACGATACGCCCGCGAAAACTTCCCATCTGTCAAGTACATGGAGTATGCGGTCGAGGTTGAAACCTACACGCTCTCCAAGGCAAACAACCTCGTCCTCAATGTCGATGGTGCCATCGGATCGCTCTTCTTGGATCTCTTAGCTGGTAGTGGGATGTTCACTAAGCCCGAGATCGACGAGATTGTCGGGATCGGTTACCTTAATGGGCTTTTTGTCCTCGCCCGCTCCATTGGTCTCATCGGGTGAGCCACCTCACCTTAGCTCATTCTCACTTTTGAACACTACGATTATGACACCCGGTCCATTTGGCACACCCTACGGTGTTCCAAAAGTGGTCCCCCCCCCCACACCCGTCTCTCCCATTGCAAACCCCAATTCTGGTTGACATTATCTTGGTCAACCAAAATTGAGGGTTGCATTTCGTGGGGACAAGAACCACTTTGGGGTCGAACGGAGCCTCGTAGGACATCCAAATGGACTAAAATGACACCAGTGCCCAGTGGGATTTGTTTGATTAAATGATCTTTTTTTTTATTATCAGGCACACATTTGACCAGAAGAGATTGAAGCAGCCACTATACCGCCACCCATGGGAAGACGTTCTCTACACCAAGTGAAAACCCTTTCGTTTCAATCATCACATTATTGATTCCAGTTTTTCTGTTCTTCATCGATCATCAATTTCATCCACGCATAAATTGAATTATGTGACTTTTATGATATACACCTCAAATTTTTTTTAATTTTTTTTGTGTGACATTATGGAGTAGATAATTTTTTATACTCGTATTATACTCTCTCCGTTCCACAAAAAAGTTACTGTTTTGACTTTTTGAGAATTTAAGGGGAGTGTATTTTTGGTGTTGACTTTCCAAAAATGCCCTTTGATATGATGGATAAAGTAGGATGAGATGGATAGATTAATAGAGAAAAAAGTGTGATGTGATAGGTAAGTTAAGAATTAGTATGGGTAAAAGTGACTTTTTGAAAAGAAAAGGGAAGTGTTTTTTGGGACGGATGAAAAAAGAAAGGGAACTTTTTTGTGGGACGTCAGGGGGTAAATTTCAGTAATGGTACCTAAACTTTCACTGGAATTTCGAAGTGGTACCTGAACTTTAAATCCTTTCACAAAAGTACTTCAACTTACATAATCCTTTCATTAAAAGTTTATTTGCCCGTTTTCAGGTTAACTTCTGGTCATTTGGGATAAATTAGAATTTTATATATTTTTTAAAATTTTTAATTTGACCCAATTTCATTTTTTCTTCTTCTTCGCCCACCCACGTGGAAAAAGAAAAAAGAGGGGGGGGGGGGTCTTCTTCTTCGCGAGGAAGAAACCTCTGAATTGGGATTTTTTAAAGCGCGTACGTGGGGAAGAAACCTCTGAATTGCGAGGAGCTGGTGGAGATGGTGGATCCATTCGTGCGGGGGTTCCAGAGGGATGGGAGGAATGGAAGATAAAAGGCTCCATTCTCGCGAGTCTGTACATACAAATAGTGCTTGTTCTTCTTGCTCCCTTTCGGAAGAGAACGGGTCACAAGCTGGTCATCTCCCTCGTCTGGTCTTTCACTCCTTTCTTCTTCTTCTTCTTCTTCTTAGGAAGGAGTGGGAGGGTGGGTAAGAAAGAAGAAAAAAAAGAAACGAGGTCAAATTGAAAAATTTTAAAATATATAAATTTCTAATTTAGCTCAAATGACCGTAAGTTAACTTAGAAACGGGTAAATAGACTTTTATAGTGAAAGGACTATGTAAGTTCAGCTACTTTTGTAAAAGGATTTAAAGTTCAAGTACCACTTCGAAATTCCAGTGAAAGTTCAGGTACCATTACTGAAATTTACCTGGACATAGGGAGTATTATATTTTGCATTTCATTATATGACTTCAGTCTTAGTGACAAGATATTAAGAAAGATATTTTAGGACGGAGGGAGTATATAATTAGATGAATAATGCACACAATTTGGACAGAAGCTACACTTCTCAATCTATTTATGTTAAAAGTTAGGGAAATCATTAAACAAATGCTGAGAATTATCTCCCAACTATATTAGGAAGCTATCAACAAAGAATTGCCAATAAGCAAAAAATCACTCCAAAATACCCAAAAGTTAATCAAAAGAAATCACCTTAAATAGAACTAAAACATACTCCCTCCGTCCCAAATTTTAATGCCTGTTTACTATTCACAGGGTCAAACTTCATTCACTTTCTTTCTCTATTTTCGTTAGCAATTTGATAAAATAAAATATTTTTGTCACTACTAGTTCTGTAGATCTTTTGATTTAGTTTTTTAATATGTAATTTTTATTTTTTAATTTTATACCATTTGTCATATAAAATGGTTTGAAAATAATTTCAGTCAAACATCGTAAACCGAAACAGGCGTTATAAAATGGGACGGAGGTAGTAGAAAAAATCTCAAAATAAGAATTTTATATTTTTATTATCTAAATAAGAATTCATACTCTCATAATGTGATTTTGTACATATGCATTTTATGTAATGTACATGATCATGATTGATTACGTAAATACATTTTAAATTTTATTTTGGGAATACAAACATGAAATTCTTATTTTGAAATATTTTCAATGTTTCACTTCTACTTTAGTTTTTTTCCCGTGATATCCAAATGTTTTTCTTTCATGGGAATCATGATAACCAAAAGAGTAATTGAACCAAAAATCAAAGTAATCATGATAAAGAATTTAACTTTGTACTTCCACCCGCCCTTCACAGGTGGGCTTGACTCACTTATGGGTCGGGTTTAACTCGATTCCTTTCACGAGGGCTTTGCTCTAATCCAATAACTTGGGCCTCGGTGATCCAGGTCTAATTCTAATTAAGTATTCGATCCGTATTAAAGTAATTTCTTGTTGTGTTTTACGATATTTATTTGAAATTATTTTCAATCTATTTTATTACTCCTTATATTTCAAACTAAATCGTCTGTTTACTAATTTCAGGGTCAAACGTCATTCACTTTCTTTCTTTTTTTCGATAGTCATTTGATAAAATAGAATAATCCGTCCCAATTTATAAAACTATATCAAAAGATTTACGAAACTAGCAGTAACATAATTATACTTTTTTCAATTAAATAAAGAAAATAAGCAAACAAAATAAATAAGATTTGACTAATAAATAATAAATGGAAAGATAGATTTAGGACGAATGCAGTATAATAAGATGAGTTTGGGTTTGTTGGGCCTAATCTATTACATATACTTTGGTATGTGCCATATACTCTAAGAGCAACTTTATTGGGAGGGGAATGGTTGAGAAATAGAAAGAGGAGAATGGTTAAAGTAGAGATGGAAAAGGAGAGAAAAGGGGGGAGGGAATGTACATTCCCATGGGTTTAAGAAGAAAAGAAGAGAGAAAGGGAGAAAAAGAAGAGAGAAGAAAGAAAGGAAAGAAAAAAAAAGAAGAAAAGAAAACAGGGAAAAAAAGAGAAAGATGAAAACAAGAAAAAGAAAAAAACTAGGCTGATTTTTTTTTTATAATAGTATATTTTTTTTAAAACTATTATTTTTTTGTTAAATCTCATTTTTAAAATTAAAAAAATACTCCATAAATTCACATTACATATTTTAAAACAATTTAATAATTTTGATTTGGTATGATAAATATTGTGCATAGGGATGACAATTTTATCCGAATCCGACTTTTTCCGACCCGACCGAAGTATATAATATCCGAATCCGACCGAAAAAATAAATATCTAAAACCGACCCGAAGATTTTAAAACCGAACCCGACTTTTGTCGGGTCGGTTTTCGGTAATTAAATTTGACCGACCCGACCTGTACCCGACCCGACCCAATAATTAACCCGAAATAAAAGGCCTTTTTAAAATATAAAAAAACCTTTTTCAATTAAAAGTCTTTGGCTTACGGGAGTTACCGGTTACGGACTTGAAAAATATTTGTGAAAACTTGTTATATTTATGTGTGTTGTTTCTCTTGTGAAATATTTGTGAAAACTTGTTATACTTCCATGTTTTGGTTGTAATTTGGGACACATCTTTTTTAATATCTTAATTTTACGATGTCTTTGAACGTTCAAATGTTTTTATGTATTGGAATTCTAATTATATCATTACATGCATTTATTATTTTATCATTATTTTAATAAAAATCATTACAAAAAACGGATTTATTAGGATATTGGTATGGTCAGTCGGTCGGGTCGGTCAGTCGGTCAGTCGGGTCAGTCGGTCGGTCAGTCGGGTTAGGCTTAGGTTTTTGTCAAATTCTCGGGTTTGGTTGCGGTTTTGGGTTTCGGTTTAGGCAGTCGGGTTCGAGTTCGGGTAGAAATTTATACCCGACGGTTCAGGTTCAGGCAAAAGAAATATCCGATCAAAATTTCGGGTCGGTTTCGGGTAAGGGTATATCCGAACCGAACCCGACCCGTTGTCATCCCTAATTGTGCAGATAAAACAAATTTATTACTTCGTATAAAACATCAAGATGATTTAATTCTTTTAAAATTTTTTAAATAAATTTATGACTTGTGGGCCCACCATAAAACAAAAGAGGAAGTGTAAGGTACTATTAAAAGAGCAATGCTACGTTCACAAACAGGACACTCACAAACTTCACAAACTTACTATTTATGGTTTAGATTTTCATTTTAAAATTATTTTAGATTATTTAATTTTATTTATTGAAGTTCACAATTAGTAACTTTGTGAAGTTTGTGACCATTTTATTTGTGAACCAAGCATTTCCCTAAAATGGTGTGGGGAAAGTCATGGATGAAATTGATGTGATCATAATAAAGGAGAAAGAGAGGGAAAGTGAAATGAACGGATAAAGATGCTCTTAGAGCAATTTTATTGGGGAGCAAAAGTTTGAGTATCAGTGATATGTAGGCGACTCAAAAATGACCTGATCTGTTTTTACTCGAAACCTGACCCAAAAACACTAGTTTTGAACAAATGTTTTGATGATCGCACTCGAAGTTCACCGAATCCAGAATGACTCGCTAAAATGGGTTAAATCTGACCGTACCCGACGTTGCCGACCAGCTAGTGTGAGAGTTTTTTAAAAATTATATACTTTACTATGAAATATAATGTTATAAAAATAAGGTTATGATTATATTTTTTACTACTCATTTTTAGTGTATAATTTTATATTTTCGGACAAAATTTTAATGATATTGTATAATTATCTTACTTTTTTCCTAAACTTATGCATTTTTAATTCTTTATATTGATTTATATATCTAAAAATTACACCATAATTTAAAATAAAATAATATAATATATTTAATACATATTTTTTGATATTTTAAATTTATTCAATGCAAAAATGCAAGTGTTAATATGAATTTTGAAATTTTAAAAATCAAAGTTATAATGTGTTGGGTCAACCCGAACTCGATGACACAAGGTCATGAACATATAATTTCAATCCGAATTGACCCGAACCTAGAGCAATCCAAATCTTAAGTGATCGATTTAAACTCGACTTGACCGACCGGTTTACTAGCTCTAATAATATGAAAGAGAAGAAAGAAGAGAGGAGCGAAAACAAGATGCACGGAGGAAAAATTAAGTGGGAGAGAAAGAAAGGGTGTGAAGAAAGAAAAGACTAAAAGAGGGAGAAGAAAGAAAGAGAAGGAAAAGAAAGAAAGAAAAATAGAGGAAGAAAAGGAGAAAAAAGGGATAACAAAATAGAAATTTGGATGTTCTTTTGGGTGTATTTTTTTGTATTCAAATTGTTACTGTAGTTTTTAATTAAAAAAACAACTATTATTTATTATTAACAAAAAACAACTATTATTCTAAAAATTGTTTGGGTGTTGTGTTGCGTGGTTTAGCG